CCCCCCCCAATCTCTCTCTGTCTCACTCTCTCACACACACACACTGTCAGCTGTTTGATGGTGATGAGGTCTGACGGCCATTGATCTGCTCTCAGGGACTGGCTGTGTCGTCCTGATGTGCTCCAGTCGTGGTTGAGGCGTTGTGGTGTGTGGTTGGCAGGTGTGGGGTCGTCTGGCGTAAAGATGCTTCTTTAACGACCTCGTTTCTCCCGGCAGGACGGACTGACCGACCAGACGCAGCATCAGGAGAATGACGAGCGCCGCCCCGGCCAGAAAACCGTACCGGAAGGCTCCACCACAGCACCGAGAAACGCGCCACGCCCTGCCCACGGCTCCGCCACCACCTGCGCCGCAGCCCGACATCAATCAGGTAAACAAACACCTGGACACACCTGTCCACCCCTCACAGCAGCTGATCCTCAGCGCCGATGATCAGTGGCCGTGCGGTGATTGCCTCCAGCATGGCGTCCTGTCTGACAGTGAACTGGACATTTCCAGCCCCTCCAGCCTGGAGTTCTGCATCTCGCCACCGTCGCCCTTCAGCAGCCCCATTCCCCGGTCCAACTGGGTCAACAGAACCACAGAGGGGGACTTTATCGCATCCGATCGCAACACTTCAGGGCGTTGTTATGACTGGAAGAGTTCTGATAGCAGACAGACTCGCAGCTCTGCGTCGGGCAGGAAACACTCCCCATCCCGGCAGAACAGCTACCAGAACTCCTGGTTCAAGAGCTCCGCCCCCACTGCCACACCCAAGGGCATCCTGAAGCAGCCGGCCTCGCCAGGTCCGAACCGCACCAACGATGACCTCAGGAAGTCGAAGTCTGTGGAGCTGCTGGACACCTCGCCCACTCGCTCGTCGGACTGGGTGGAGCTTCCAGCAGAGCAGCGGGCATCAACTTCGCCGCAGTCTCTGGCTCCACCTTCACCTAGACGGAACACCAGGAATTGGAATACACAGGTTTTAGAGGAGAAGGTTCGCTTCTCCAACTTTTTAGATGAGATCACTTGTCAGATCTTAAGCCCCGCCCACCTCTTGCTGCTGGGCAAGTTACCTGTTAAGCAGCGAGATGGCCATGCCCCCCACGATGGCCGTCACCACACAAACCAGCAGGGGGAGTCTGCTAACCGGACTCGGCGCTGGGACAGCTGGGTGGCGTCTCTGCAGCGACCCGACAGCTGCAGGGTGGGGCATAATGACAACATAGGGAAGGAGGCGGGGCCTGAATATAACAAGGCGACTAGAAGAGTAAAGGTGGAGGTTCAGGACACGAAACGACCTCGGAGACACGGACGTCCTTGGTCGAATTTGTCTCTTCTGTCCCACAAGGTAGGTGAGAGGTCCAAGGTGTCCTGTTCTGTTTTACCTGCTGCACACCTGAGCTCCTCCCCCTAGTCAGTCCACCTGTTGGACCCTGGATTCTCTGACGATTGCAGATCTATAGAGGCCCGAAGTGGACAAAACTGATTAAATGTAGTTTTGTAGTTTTTGTTGGTTTGAGCCAGTTTTGTTCTGAACCTTTGCTTCAGGCCACTTCGTGTTTACTCCTGTCAGACGTTTGGTTCTGATCCGGTCACGTCAACATTAATTAATCCTAGTCGTGGCAGCAGGACGGAGCAGCTGATCTGTAAACGGTCACGTGATGCCCTGCTGCTTTCTGTACATCAGCCCGGATTGATGAGGCGAACAGAACCAGGAAACACAAGTTGATTATTGATCCGGCCTGACCGCAGCAGGAGCTTAAGGAAGTCCTCCTGGAACTGGGTCAAAACTGAACCAGGAGTGCGTCTGGGCTTCATATGCGGGTTTTATACTGTTGGTAGGCTGGTTCCTGACCCGGAGAACTTTTAATACCTCGTCTTGTAGTCCAGACTGGCTTCCTGGACCTGGACTTTCAATGACCTGCTGTAGAACTTTGCTTTGAGGCTTCAGTTCTGAGGTTCATCAGAACCTTTAAATTGTTTAAAGTCCCTGAATAAGTGTCTTACTCTGAACAATTGATCCGGTTCTGGAAGGTGTCTCATGGTTACTCACCTTTTTTGGTAAAAAATGAATAAATAAATAAAAGTTCTGATCAGATGCTCTTCGTTAGTGTTTTACTCCGGGTTTAAAATGCAGCTGATGAATCTGAGACCTTTAAATGTACGGCCCTGACTGACCCGTGTGTTCTGCCTGTGTTTTCTTTCAGGAGGCCTTATCGGACTCGGACAGGATCAGGTGAGTTGGTTTGGGTTTTTATGAACCAGTTGGTGTTGTTAGGCCTCTGGTTTGATCAACGAACCGTTCTAAAATCTGTTAGCTAACGGATTAGAACATGTTCTGTTGCAGTCTGAACATGATCACTGCAGATGAAAGATTAGATCAAACACAAAGGTCCTGGGTTCAATTCCCAGCTAGACCTGAGATCTTTGTGTGGAGTTTGCATGTTCTCCTCATGTTTGCCTGCTTAAATAAATCTTCTTTCCTCACCTCGTTACCCAGGATCCTCCAGCAGCAGAATGAGGACCTGCGACGCCGCCTGTCTCTCTCCACCCACAAGATGGAGGCCATGGAGGCGGAGTTCGAGGGCAGTCGTCACTACATGGAGGCGGAGCTCAATCAGACCCGAGACGACTTGGACAAGATGAGGGACAAGTTCCGTAGGTGAGGAGTAGGAGAGTCCAAATAAGGACTTTATTGTGGTGGTTCAGAAACCGTCCTCTACGCCCAGTTGATGATTACAGGAAGTTCCTGTTGACAACGAGGCCGTCTCATGTCTGTACTGTGACCCAGCTGCAACCCAAACATGACGCAGCTGGGACTATGTTCTCACCTGGTTTGAACTCTGTTCTCACCTGGTTTGGACTCGGTTCTGTTTGGACCTGGACTTTATCCTCTGTGTTGACTCACTTCCTGTATAAAGGCTAACAGCCATGAATCTGAGCCTGTACCTGGTCTAGTCTTTGTCCCAACTGACCGTGTCCACCCTTGTGTGTTCTCAGACTCCAGAACAGCTACACGGCATCTCAGAGAGCCAATCAGGACCTGGAGGAGAAGCTCCACGCTCTGGTAGGACTCTTGATGCACGTCTCTGTGTAGTTGATAATGAATCTTGTTTACATGGGGGCAGGGCAGACTGTTCACATGACTCATGACCTCATGTGTCAGCTGTATAACGGAGCTCCTGATTTGTTCCTGCCTTTCTGATCTCATTGATAAGTTGTGAATGAGCTGACCTCATCGATTGCTGTATTGATCCTCTTTGGATAACTCCTGACTGACTGGGTGGTTGCTATGGGAACTAAAGCGTGAGGTCAGAACTGAACAGGTAGTTCACACAAAGCCATGGCGGCGTTGTCATGGTGACTTCCAGACATGTTACGTTTGGGTGGTCAAATCTATTATTAATGGTTTGTAGAATCATAGCTGAGGTTTTAACCATTTGAGTTTTAGAAGAAACTGTTTCACTGAAACTAAAGTCGAATTTTGTCTGTACAATTGAAACAACACTGACGTCACAAAGTTACTGATGACATTGCCATGTGTATTAACTTCTTGGATACACTTTGTTACTGTGAATTATTACTGAAGTAACGGTAATAAACAGCTTTCCAGTTATTTTTGTCATTTGGATTTCTTTTAAAAACATGTTTGTAGGAGTGGGCGATATGGCTCAAATATAATATTGTGATATTTCAGAGCATTCTGACGATAACAATAAATTTTGTGATATAACAAAAAAAAATCTTATTCATTTGACAAAATTAATTTAACATGCTGCTTTGCAGTATTATATAAAAACAAAAAAAAAAAACTAGGGTTAATTTTACTGCAATTACTTTATTTAATAAAGTATTTAGTCTAAAAGTCTAAACATAAAATGGATCCTTCTGTTATTTAGATTTAAAAAGTCTGCACAAAATATAGATCAACAAAATCCACCACAAAACTAAAGTGTTCAGTGTACAGTTCACAAATAAACTAAATAAAATTAAAGCCTAAGATCTGTTGAGCATAAATTTAACATACAACAAAATACTGTTTATAACTTCCAAAACTTGTGACAAGGTGTCTTCAGCTGACTCTGAAGCTTGTTGGTGTTTCAGCTTCCTCTGTTCCTGCAGGAATTAGTCAATTTCTCTGACTGCTCTGTCTTCGATCACCTGCCTCTTTTCTTGGTCCATGGATTGACTGTGGAACTCGAGAGACACAGCTGAGCTGCACATTTGTATCAGCAGTTTAGACAGAGCTTGAGAGAAGAGGCAGCTTGAGCGATGCCTTTAGCGTTTTAGCTATATTGCGCGCGGCTAGCTTAGCGTTACGCCAGTACCGGTGGGGTGTTGTTCTGTGGTTGGACGTGCTCGGCTCTGTTAACAGGGCGGGGTCCCCCGCTTGTATAATGGTAGGGGGAAACACTGACGTATTTAAGTCATGAAATTAGCATATCATGATATAAATTATTTTCCCGGGCAAGCTTTTTTTTACCGGTTTTATCTTGAACAATATGGTATGGCCCAGCCCTACATGTTTGATATTTATCGGTTAGATTTTTGAATGACGGTTCTTTAAATTTTTTTAAAATTTCGGCACATTTTCTGCTTCAGGTTTGTAGTTTGGCTTTATTTTGTTTTACGTCCATTTACAGTTGGACTGCTGTGACTTTGTATCTTTTCATTAAAGGCATTCCTTCGTGAAATGCATTTTTATTTTTTTTTTTCCACCTTGTCCTGTCCGGCATTGTGGCACTCAGAATTATTGTCTGAGTGTCAAAGTGATGCCCAACAGATTTACTTTCACAAGCAGAGCATTATGGCTGGCCTTAATGCTCCACTTGATGTATAGATAAAACTTTATTAGAATTTGCTTTGGATTTGTTTCAGATGTAATGGACATGGGGATGAAAAAACAAAGAAGATAACAAAGCAGAAAAGTGAGAGAAGGGTTAAAAGGTAAAGGAGATGTGAATAGAGGAGAGAGAGAGAGAGAGAGGGATAATGAGAACACAAATCTACATCATTGAAGTCTGCCTCTAGATCTGCGGAAGAAAAAGAAAAAGACTAAACCGAGAAACCACAACAACAAACAACATATATAATGATACTTATAACATATTAGAAAGTATTTTATACAGTACATGGTAATACAAGATGTATTTAGTGGTCCGCAACCCAATTGAGTGTGTATCTGATAAACACCTGAATCTAAACACCTGTGTGATCATGCTTATCACTATAAGGTTTCTCCATAAAAATGTTCAATAGTGAATGTGAGGACCCACAGATCCGTCCCCACTGGACACAATGGTAACACGGGGAAGACCAGAGCCACAGACACACGGTGGCCCCAAAGCCCGCAGCTCCGGGAGTCCCCCAACAGGGACAACCCCCCACCCAGAGAGAAGCAGAGGGAAGCCCTGAGCGATCCCCAGCAACCACAATGCAGAAACCCCAGGAGGCTGCAGCGACGAGCCCACAGGCCCCGCCGGCAACCCGCCCCTCCAGAGTAGATCCGGCCATGGACACTGAGCCACGAGTCCCGAGGTCATACCACCCCCCCACCCCCCACCCCCCCAACAGAGGCCTGACAGAGCCAGGGCACACAGGCCCCGGCAGGCAGCCACCAGGGCGGGCCGGTACACACCCAATCACCCAGCCCCAGATGCTGAGAGTCACCCATGCACCGGCGGCAGGGGGGCCCGCCACTGGAGGAGAGCACGACAGGGTAAGTAAACCCCACATTAAATGGGGGGCCCAAATTGATCTGAGGGGACCACCTAAAACCCAACCCGAGACATAAACAGGCACACATTGATAGCCACTGACTGAAAGGCCCTGTCCCCTTTAGTTTTCAGCCGCGTACGTGGAACATCCAAGAGGTTCTGTGACTGGGAGCGAAGACCACGAGCAGCAGAGTATTTGGTCAAAAGCTGACAAAGATGCACAGGAGCCTGGCCATTTAAAGCTCTGTACGTCAGCACAAGAACTTTAAAACGGATTCTAAACTCGACTGGGAGCCAGTGTAGTGAATATAGGACTGGGGTGATGTGACAGTATTTGCTGGATTTGGTGAGAAGTCTGGCAGCTGCGTTCTGAATTACTTGTAGACGTGAAACAGAAGACTTGTCCAGGCAGGTAAAAAGGGCATTACAGTAGTCCAGACGTGATGACACAAAAGCGTGAATAATTTTCTCTAGATCAGTTCTGGAGACCTTAGGTCGTATTTTAGAAATGTTTCTTAAATGAAAGAAACAAGAATGGGGAAATAGCTTTAATGTGAGACTCAAAGCTTAATGATGAGTCAAATGTGACTCCTACATTTTTTACTTTTGATTTGGCTACTGGGCAGAAAGAGGCAATTTTCTGATTGATTTTTGGGTGAAGATGACTGGGAGCAGTAATCAAAGTCTCTGTCTTACTGGTGTTTAAAACCAGGAAGTTACTGGCAAGCCAGTCACTGATATGGGACAAACATTGGACAAGGATGGCCAATTTATCCAGCTGGTGTGGTTTAAATGAAAAATACAACTGAATGTCATCAGCATAAATGTTATAAGAAATATCAGAAAAGGATTGAATAATGCTGGCAAGTGGGATAATATAAAAGGAAAACAAAAGTGGACCCAGAACTGAGCCTTGTGGCACCCCACAAGTTAAGGGGGCATAATCAGAGGAGAACCTGTCTGTCTTGATGCAGAAAGTTCTGTGAGATAGGTATGATGTGAGCCAGTCCAAAGCTGAGCCAGAAATACCAGCCACAACCTTCAGTCTGTTTAATAAAGTTGTGTGGTCGACAGTATCAAAGGCAGCACTAAGATCTACCAGGACCAACACAGAGCATTTTCCTTCATCAGAAGCCATTAACAGATCGTTGTGGACTTTTACCAGAGCAGTTTCAGTGGAATGGTGTTTTAGAAAACCAGACTGAAAGGGATCAGAGATCTGTAACTGACAGAACCAGGATCTGAGTTGGGTTTCTACAACTTTTTCAAGTAATTTACTGAGAAAAGGCAGTTTAGAGATGGGACGAAAGTTGGAAAGGGAGCCAGAATCAAGGTTAGGCTTCTTTAAGAGAGGGGTCACTTCTGCTGTTTTAAAATACGATGGGATGGACCCTTTGTTCAGGGAGTTGTTAATTATCATCAACACTGTTGGACCAATACAGGCTAGAGTCTGAACAAGCAGAGAAGGAGGTAATATTTCCAGTGAACAAGTAGAAAGTTTCATTTAGGCAATTAATGATGTCAGGTCATTTAAAGTAATTGGAACAAAAGAAGAAAATGACTCAGAACACTGAGGCTCATCTTGAAAAATAGAGGCGCTTGGAGATATATTGGATTTCAGGTCCATCACCTTCTTTATGAAAAAATTGAGAAACATGTTACAGTCATTGTTTGAGGTTAATGAAGCATGGTGCACTGGAGGAGATACAATACTGCTGATAGTATCAAATAACACTTTAGGATTCTTTTTGTTCAAGTGAATAAGATTGCTAAAATACAATGACCTGGCATCACTAACTGCCTTGTTATAAGCACCAAGGAGCTCCTTAAAATATTCCCGGTGGGCAACCAGACCAGTCCTTTTCCACAAGCGCTCTGTTTTCTGACAAGAGCGCCCAAGTTCTCGAGTTTGATTGTTTAACCAAGGTGAACAGCGGTAAACGGGCCCACAGTGGGTTTTGTAAGGAGCAATACTGTCAAGAATGGTAAGGCAGTGATCATTAAAAGAGTCAACCAGAAGCTCCACATCATCATCATCATCAGGAGGTGTTGTAAATGAAAAGCGGGAAGAAAACTCTGCGACTACAAAACTGTCAATAAAGCGTCTGCTCTTACTGGTAACCTGAGAAAAAGTCTCCAAATAACAGGAAATGTTAAAAGAGACAACCTTATGGTCACTGAAAACAACATCTTTTATATGTAGATTATTAAGTGCAAGTCCATAAGTAAAAACCAGGTCTAAAGTGTGGCCTGCAGTGTGAGTAGGCTCAGACACATGCTGTGAGAAGTTGAGTCCATAATATTAAGAAAGCCCATAGCAGGATGGTTTGTTGGATCATCAACATGAAAA